TAATTATATAATTAAATTTGTAATATTATCTAATTAAAAATTTTAGCCCTCAAAAATATCTTAAGGAGCAGGGAAAAAACAAGGAATTTCAACAAAATGCCTTCTCGGTTCTTTGTTTGGAAGCTCTTTTTTATTTTCCTCCACAAAGTTGGCTGCAAAGGATTGAGAAAAGAGAGGGAACATAGCAGTCAGGTGAGGGAGACCCCTACTCTTGTCGGCATTACTTTATGCTTCACTGGTCACGCATCCGCCGAGCCTTCCATCTAATACACTAGCCGTCTACGAAGATGTGCACCAATGATATCATGTCACGTGTCCAGAAGCATCTTCTCTGAGCAAGTGCCCTACGTAATTTGGCGGTGGGCCTGTGACAGAAGGATCCCTCTCCACAGGGATCCGGGCGGACGGTGGGGCTAAGAAGTATTGGGAAAGGAAGGGCTAAAATGGATCACATCACTTCTTATTTGACACCGCGGCTCAATAATGTTATGTACCAAGCTCGGTATTGGATAACATGTCTACACCTGATTCGTCTTTGGACGATAAGCTGTATATGATGTCCGCACAGAATAATCGTGGGTAGTATATTAGGCTGCATGTGTGCCGTTGGATTCGGGTTGAGAAGCATCAAGGGGATCAAATTCTATTAAGAAATTCCTCAATAAGATGCAAGTTTTAAATCATGTCATTCTGATTTTTTTTTTTTTTCGTTTAACATACTTTAAAAAAATGTATATTACTGTTGTATTAAGTAAATGATTTTAATATTCCAATAATGCAAAATCTATGCACTGAATTTAAGTAATTATAAATTAATTATAGCTTTTAAAATAATAAATATTATATATATTGAAATTATATTTATATTTTATTTTTTTAAGCTCTAAATTAGAAAGAATGTCAATGTAATGCAACATTTAATAGCAATAGAATCAATTTAATTTCAAATAATTCTAAGTGAGATGAATTTTGTTAAGTGTACACCTATTTTTAAAAGTATAAAATACCTTTAGCAATAATAAATTTAGCCAGGATTTTAGATGAAGATGATAAAAAATTATGAAAAAATATTCATAAATTAGCTAAGCGTGTCCAAAATAATACTATGATGAAATTGGTTTGCAAAATAGACATCTAACGGTCCCAAAATTTCTACTTATGTAACCGATAAGTATTAAATTCTTAAGGGAATTTCAGCGATTGCAAAATTATGAAAAAAATTAAGTTAACATTAAAACACATATATAGCCTAATCGAAGACTATTTAAGTGGATTTAGACATATATAGTCAGAAATAATTTGTTGCTATGGTAGATCAAAAAACTCCTGTTAAAAATTAAAGGTTATACAATATCATGCATTCTCTTACATCTATAATGATTATTGAATTTTGCTTTCCTCTAATAATAGTGTCAGGGGGGAACCAGCCGCGCTGACCAGAGCAGGTCGAACCGTCCGCTAGGGGACGCGGCTCTCTTTGCTACGCCTCAACATTACTTACAGTTACTTAAAATTTTGCGCGTCCCACCCCGCCGCCCCAGCCCCATCGCCCACAGCTAAAATTAAGGCAACGCTGTCCGTCTTGAATATTGTTAGTTCCGGCTATCTATTTATGATTTTGATTATGAGGATCACCTTTGAATTTGGCTCCTTTAGTTTTTCAGTGCTATTAACCAATGGTATGTTCTACTTGGGACTCGGCGTTGTTTCATTATTTGTATATCCTCCTTGGAGATAGAGTTCTGCACTTTTGTGTTGCACTATATATATGATCTACATCCCAATTTACATAAGTCATGATTGATGTGAGATTCTATATTTTTACTTGGCCTTTTTGCTCTATGATTGTCGCTTATCTATTAGTCTGGAAGTTCTAAATATGTAGAATTTTGAATCTGCAAGTTTGGCTTTTTATCTTTTTCTTCATATCTGGTGCCCAATTATGCTTTTGAGTATCTCAATTGCTGACTTATTCTCATACATCTTATCCAACTCAATTTTGGCACCGTCAACTATATTGCGTAAATAATATTGATATATCTCAAAAAACAATCTTGGTCGGCATGAATCTCGAAGAAAAAATTAGTTGTAAGCTAAAAAATTAAATGTGAGAAAGCTGCACCGATTTCAAGCATCTTATAATAGAAACTAAGTCGAATACGAATCCCAAGACACCAATTCGACTCAAATTCGACCCAAAGACCAAATAAAGACCAAAATGCGTTGGAAGGTCAATTATAATTTAATACCAAACAGTTCCAAAAAGTGACATATATTCAAATTGAGGCGCCTTGGACCCCACAAAAAGAAAAAGCACGAGCTCAAATTCTAAATCGTATATCATTAAGAAATTCAACATCCCTAGTAAAAATCCATGATCAAGGGTTTACATCGGCCGTCCATTCAAACGACCAAATTACCTTAAATTCTCCTATTCTGAGCCATGTCCACTCTAGAGAAAATTATAAAGTACGACCATCATTTTTATAAGAGTGACCATGCAAGAATAGAAAGATAAGGAAAAGAAAGAAGTGAATAAGCATAAACAACAAGAAGAAAAATGAGGAGAAGAAAGAGGGTTTATAGCAACCAGGCTCCTCTGCGACCACTCGCGGACTCCATCGGCACCTGTCTAACGCAAAGTTTGCCTGATCACCACTGACCCGGACGTGTTGTTGCCCGGCCTGGCGACAGACGCCGAAATTTCTGCCCCACCTACCAATTCGTCGAATTTGCCGATCTCTGTTTGTGAATGAAATTTGAACCTGGGTGTTGATTATTGTAATCTGATCGGCCTCAATTTCAGAGACAAAGTCAGCACGTGTAATCTAAGCAAACACAGTGGCAAATCCTTCCTAACTGGGTGTGGCCTGTGATTTTTTCCCTTTTATAGGATTTCTACGTAAAAATTCTGATGTTATATTTTTCCTCTGTTTGTGTACCGGATATCCATACAACGCTGAGACGAAAATTTTTAACTCTATCGCCACGTATATTCTAGCCCGCAACAAATATAATCACCATTATTGATTAATAAAATGATATGCGTGGCCCTCAAAATTTTTAAAAAATAAACATATAAATAGATAAAACGCTACCAGTTATACTAGTAAAAAAAAAGATTTCTAATAAATATTATATATGAATTTTGTTCGATATGAGGACGAAGCCCCTGTGGACTAAGAGACCGAAAGAGTGATAAAGAGCACTTGCACACGTAAGGCCTATATTCTTTTTTTTGGGACATTTAGGCCATTTAAGGCAAACTCACACACACAACGCATACACTTGGACTCGAACCTTGGACCTCTTAGTTGGAAGCCTAAGCTTTCAACCAATAGGTCAAGGAGAGTTGTGTAGGCCTATATTCTTCAGCGATGTTTTTCGTTTAGTATGACTATTTAAATATTTGATCAAAATACGTACGATTGATGAAATGCAAAAAAAATTATATTTTGAAAGCTCTTCGCCTTTGAGAGTCAATACAAAAGCAAAGACAATAGAAGATGGATGCAGTGGCAAGAAGAAATTATTATGTGCAGACTTAGAATATTATTTAGAGATCAATTAGAATGTACTACATCATCTCATATTCGATATCAAACTCGATACTGTACGGTACCCGACACAATACTATTATCGTATAAATTAGGTTCTAAATCCGCACAGAATAATTTTTTGAAGGAAAGACGGTAGAAGCAGTGTCCACGGCAGCGCGGATGGCCGTTGGTTAGGCTCGTTGTGACGTGTGGTTTGCGCGACGGCTGCCCACCCGATCTTCCGAGAGGAGTGATCTTTCATTCTTTCTTTGTATTTTGCGGATGCCGACTTGGCACGAGACGGGCCCCACTTCACGTGATGGGATATGGTCTGTGTCCCCACTCCTCACCGCCAACAGAGAAGCCGTGGGCCACTTTGAAATCTCCCTAATCTCCTCTCCGCCAATTATCTCTCATCGCCCACGTGATCACTCCCGGCCCCACATCTTCCCCTATTCCCCCTCCTCCCCTCCTCTTTTTATCCTCCACCCACCCTCTTATCACCACCTCCTCTACTCCCATCTCTCTCTCTGTGTGTGCAGAATTTGATCATGGGAGAATCCTCGGCTTCTACAATCCAATACGGTAAAAGATACTTCGCACAAGCATGCAGATTCTAGGAGAAGGCCAAACACAATAATACTGTGATTAATTACTTAATTTTATTCTTTTAGGTTCAACATCTGATCGAGAAGTGTCTGCTGTACCGCATGAACAAGGAGGAGTGCATGGAAGCTCTTAACAAGCACGCCAACATCAAACCAGTCATCACTTCCACCGGTACTATCCCTCTCGATCCCTTCTCTGTTCTGCAAATAATGTGAAATATTAATTAATTCCATATGTTAGTGTGGGCGGAGCTAGAGAAGGAGAACAGAGACTTCTTCGCGGCGTACGCTAAGGAAAAGGAGGAGCGGGAGATGCAGAAAGCCGCAATGCAAAGGCTGCAGCAGAAGAGTACTGATGCCGAGGACGACGACGGCAACT